TGATGTGAAATGACTAAACTGCCCTTTGAATGGCATGCAGTGTGAAAGCATGGCAATGGTGGAGAAGAGGTTGAAGGAGATGGAGATAGAGTACGTCAAGTGTAGAGTAGAGGAAGGTGGGGTCCACGTGGATCAGCTCTTCTTCCATGACCCTGACGGAATGATGATCGAAATCTGCAACTGCGACAACTTGCCGGTGATACCTCTCTCCGGCGAACCCCTCCGGCCGCCTGCTGGCCTCACTTGCACCATGCAACAGCAGCAGATTCAACAACTTGTATAAACATATATGCATGGTGATGCTGTTTAATTTGTACACTTTTTAATACCTAAGTAAGAGGATATATAATGGAAAGCTTGCTATTTTCCAGTCCAAGATATTCCACGTTCAATGTATTGAATTGTACGTTACTACGTTAGTTAATGTTTTTGTGTCATGTTTCCAAAAAAAAATGGTTTTTGTGTCATCATTGAAATGTCTTCTCCAATCTCTCTGTATTGCCGTATGTGTAATGGATTAAAATATTTATTACTCATACGGCAAAATGTAATACTTTTACATTTTGATGTAAACGTATATATCACATTTTCCTTTATAATTAAGTGCAACATTACTTATAAGAGAAAATATAATACTTTTAATGAAAAATTAATATTTTTACATCACAATATAAAAATATTACATTTGTGCTCAAAAGTATTTAGTATTACATTTGTTAGTATAAATATTATATTTGCATATTGACTTGATCAAACTTAACCTGTCTCACGAATAAAGATCTGTACGACGGTCTCATACAAGTATGGCGCTTTCTCCCTATACTTTCTATAAAAAATGAGAAAGAAGAACTCATTTTGCAACTTAGCTTGTCAAATACAATTATTTGATGATTTAACACCCCTTCAATATAATTAATTTGAATACAACCAATAACTTGATTTTGTAAAATCTTCTTCAGATTTTTTTATTTGTAGCCTTCAGAATGCTGTTTTCGCTCCCTTTCCTTTAATTTAAATGAAAATCAATATATATTGCAGAGAAAATACTAACCATATTTGAGTTTAAAATATTTAAATATTCATATTGATTTGAATAACATAATTTGTGCAAATTATACTATAGACCAAGATCTAACTTTTATTGTACACTCTGGTCCAAAATAACATTCAAATTATGCATATGTAGTAAATATATTATGTATATGCAATTAATAAATTATGTGCCTATAAACATATTGAAGACATATAATATGATACCATGATATTATATATATGTAATTAACATATTATGTGAATTTAATTTATTTATATCCATACACATAATATGTTAACAGAATACACATAATATATTAATTTTGTTGATCCATTGTATAACAATTGCATAATTTGTTTCAATCGTTATGTTATGGACTTGTGTCCAGCATGTATTGTGGACACGGTAATGGTGCCGTTAGTGGCACCGTTATCAGACCGCTTCGTTATAGGAGTATATGTTCATAATTTTATCACTATATGTTCATAATGTCAGAGTTCTGTGTTCATAATTCCATAACTATACATTCATACTTCAATAATTGTACATACATAATTCCGTAACTGTACATTCATAATTCAATAACTGTAAATTCATAAATTTCGAAGCTCTATGTTCACAATTTTAGAGCTCTATGTTCATAATTTTATCACTATATGTTCATATTATAAGTTCATAATGTCAGAACTCTGTGTTCATAATTCCATAACTGTACATTCATAATTCCATAACTGTACATTCATAATTCTATAACCGTACATTCATAATTCCCTAACTGTACATTCATAATTCTATAACCGTACATTCATAATTTTCGAAGCTCTATGTTCACAATTTTAGAGCTCTATGTTCATAATTGTAAGTTCATAATGTCAGAGCTCTGTGTTCATAATTTCATAACTTACATTCATAATTCCATAACTGTACATTCATAATTCCATAATTGTACATTCATAACTTCACAAACGAATAACGTCGTTAATGCCGAGACAAAATCAAATTTTATTTTTTTTTTTAAATCTGAAATGCGGCATTTTCCTTAAAAATGACGTCGTTTTGGACTCGTGTCCATAGCATAATTTGTGAATTTGTTTGGAAAATCTTAATGGACCAAATATAAAAGCCCAATTGAACGCAAGGCCCATTCATATTCAAGATTATATGCAGCAAGCCAGCAATTTGTATGCAAAATACCTGGACAGGATCCATCATGTGTATAATGGATCATGGTTCACAACATAAAATTTGCAATTTGTATTATATGGAGTGTTTGGTAAATAGCTATTAGCTAATTAAAGTAGTAGGTTTGACTAGTTGATAGCATTAATTAATTGTACAAAAGTAATTGGTAAATTAGTTGTTAGCTGATAGCTGTAACATGCAAAATGACTTCTCAAAAAGTTGATCGAAAAAACTACTTTGAGCAGCTTTTTGAATTTTTGCATTTTGAAGCAATAAGTTGTTACAAAAAGCTAATTGATTGTTTAACCAAGTCAAACATCTAATTAATAGTGGTCAAAATAAGTTAAAATTGACTGATATGCTAACTATTTACCAAACATGGCCTATATTTCCTCTAAACAAGTTCAAAGCCTCGGCAAATTTTTTTATGAGCATAAAAAAGTACACTTTAATATACTAAAAGTGTATTATTTGTGTATTAAAAACGTACACTTTTAATGTCTTAATATTAATAAAGTTTGGTTCCTTTAAAAAAAGTGTATTATTTGTGTATTGAATATACATTATACAAAATAATGTACTTTCTCCGAATATAATGTATATTTTTAATACTAAAACTATATTATATTTGTACTGAATGTATATTACTTGATAGTATACAAAATAATGTATTTTCAGTATGCAAATAATGTATTTTATGTATACAAATAATATATTTTTTATTTATGGTCTACACAGCTGTGTGGACCATAATGATTGCAAAGTTTCAGTACCAAACATTTTTTTGACAACACTCCCAGTTGAACTCACTACACGTGATCTTTCTAGTGCAATTTACTTCTTTTGTATGCTTTACCAATTATTACATAGAAGCAACATTTACTTTGTGCACACCTTCAAAGTCGGTTATTAGTTTCCCTAGTCATCCAAATAGTATGAAACATTTTATGAGAATTGGCAGAACATAAAAATACAATTGTAAGCATGACATTTCTGGATTATAGATAATCCCAAATTGAGCTCAGCATCACAGTAGTAGCCATGATTAGTAGTTGTCTCTTCTTTCGAGTCTCTCTATTAGTCCTGATGAAAATGGGTTGTGAAATTTTGAAAGGCATTCTCATACAATTTCTTTTATGGCCCGTTTGATTCATGCAATTAATTTGGAGAGAATATGAATGCTATTTTATAAAGAGTGGAATAGGTAAGGAATAGAATAGGAATTGTATTCTTTTGTTTGGTTCGCTGAGGAATAGACTTTAGGAATTGTATTCTAATGTTTGGTTGGTTAAGGAATAGAAATGGATATGTGTAAAAGACAAAAATGTCCTTGTACAAAATATTATTATTATTATTATTATTATTATTATTATTATTATTATTATTATTATTATTATTATTATTATTATTATTATTATTATTATTATTATTATTATTATTATTATTATTACTACTACAGTAAAACTCGGTATGATGGTTAACTACATAAACAAAAACTTTACGCACCATATTCGTTGAATTCTATATACAGTTACTTTTTTTTTATTATTATATAAATATAAATATATATAAATATAAATGTCAAGGGCGTTTTGGGGAAAAACTTTTCTTTCCCCAAAATGTCAATTGCAAATGTTGTAAAATGTGTGTGTGTGTGTGTGTGCGCGCGCGCGCGCGTGTGTGTGTGTGTGTGTATATATATATATATATATATATATATATATTGATAGATAAAAATTATAATTAATTAAATATATACATTTATATAATACATTATATTTATTAAATATAAATATTAAATAACGTGCAAAAGGTATTTTTGGTATTTGTAATATAAAAGCTATTTCCAAGAGCATGTGAATAGCTAATACCAAGGCCCCCTAAGAATGATTATTCCCTTTGCAAATGTAATAGCTTATTTCTAAGAATGTTATTTCCATGACAAAATGACCCAACCAAACAATGAAATAGGTCTATTCTAAGGAATGTTATTCCATTCATGAACTATTCCATAAAACAAACATACCATTAGAGTTGAAAAAGTGTAACACTACAGATTTAAAAGGGTTCTAGCAAGTGTCAAAATAAATGTCGTAAAGTATGATCAGAATGACTCATTTTGATCAATATCAATACAAGATTATGGGTTCCAATGAAACCTTTTAGCAACATCCCTTTTATCACAATAATAAGAGTAAAACTACATCTACTCTTATTTTTTACTCAATATTGAATTGTCATAATCTTATTGATCTAAAACAATAGTGAGCCACTATTTTTCATTCATTCATTTCTTTTTTGCCCAATAAAATGTATACATCTATTATTTTTCCAATAATAATAATTCAAGAAACTGTTTTCTCACAAGGCCGGTGTGCAAATAAAATACTTTGCTAAACTTCTTGTTTTTAGATAGGACAGAATTTTTCAGCATATATCAAGAATTCAAGATAGCCAATTAGTCTCTAGGCGGCAATTTATATCATGGACTAGAGTCCACATAGCATTATGGACGCGGAATTAAAACGAAGAAGTACAAAATTCATACTTGTAAGATACAGAATTTCATAACACAAGATACAAAAAATTATAACACAAAACACATACACATATTATATAATTATTTATTTTTGATACATATAATAAGTTCACATAAAATATATATTTTATAATAATTAGGGGTGTTTTGTTCAAGTATAAATTAGAGTAAGATTTTGGTAATTAGCATGCTTGGATTAATCTGATATTCTTTTTCTCTCAAATCTCTCTCTACTTCTCTCCCTCTGCATTTCTCCTTCTTCTTCCCCAAACTCTCTTCCCTTTCTCTTCTATTTTCTCCCTCTATTTCTCTGCTCAATTCTTAGGTCCGTTGCACAAAAGTTGAGAGATAATGGCAGAAGTGAAGGTTCTAGGTAGTTGGGTAAGCCCTTTTAGCGCAGCTGTTGAGATTGCTCTCAAACTCAAAGGAGTTGAATACGAATTCATACAACAAGATCTCTCCAACAAGAGCCCCTTGCTTCTCAAATCAAACCCAGTCCACAAGAAAATCCCTGTGCTCTTGCACAACGGAAACCCACTACTTGAGTCTCTCATCATCGTCGAGTATATCGACGACACCTTCCCGGGCACTCCCATTTTGCCCAAACATCCTTACGAGAAAGCCTTGGCTCGTTTCTGGGCTAAGTTCATACACGAAAAGGTAAATCTACTAAACTTTATATTTTTATTTAATCCGTTCCAATATTTAAATTTTAATTTCAATTTCAATTTTCGATCTGCAGTTATTTTCTGGGACCAGGAAAGCACTGTTTACTAAAGGCGAAGAGCAAGAGGGAAAAGAGGAAATTTGTGAGGTTCTGACAATTCTCGACAATGAACTGAAGAACAAGAAGTTCCTTGGAGGGGAGACGATCGGACTTGCAGATTTAGCCGCCAATTTCATCGCCTTATGGATGGGTGTTTTTGAAGAAATTATAGAGGTGGATTTGGGTGTGACGGAAGAAAATTTCCCTCATTTATGTCGGTGGAAGCAGGATTATCTCAACTGTCATATAATTAAGGAGACCTTTCCTCCAAGAGATAAACTTTTTGCCTACAACAACAACAGACTCAACCCAGAAGCACCAACTGCAACTTGATTTTGTTAAATCTTCTTCAGTTTTTTCTTTATTTTTTTTTAGCCTTCGCTGTTTTCGATCCCTTCCCTTTAAATGAAAATCAATATTTTTTTGAAAGCAAATGAAAAAAAAACAATATATATTGCAGAGAAAATACTAACCATATTTGAATTTAAAATATTTAAACAATCATATTCATTTGAATAACATAATTTGCGCAAATTATACCATAAATCAAGATCTACTTTTTATTGTGGACTCTAGTCCAAAATAACATTCAAATTATGCATATACAGTTAATATATTATGTATATGCAATTAATAAATTATATACCTATAAACATATTGAAGACACATAATATGTTACCATGATATTATATATATGCAATTAACATATTATGTGAATTTAATTTATATACATTCATTCACATAATCGGTTAACAGAAGACACATAATATATTAACTTTGCAGTCGTTATATCATAGACCGCGGTGCAAAAACGGCGCCGTTTATTTAAGTAAAGAAACGGCCCGCCATTATAGTTAACGGAGTTCGCTTGTTTGGTGTATTATTGTATTAAACACCAACTAACACTACAGTATATCTAAACCGACACTGCAGTTATATCAAAATGATACTGTAGTTGTAGTGAAATGAAACTGCAGTGTATACAAAATGAAACTGAATAACATTTCACATATTTGAGTGTATATTGTACAATGAAGCTGTAATTATATCAAAATGATCATGTAGTTGTGTTTTAATGAAATTATAGTGTATATAAAATAAAATTAAATAACATTTTCACATATTTGAGTCTATAAATATCGAATGAAACTGTAGTTGTGTTGAACCGAAACTGCAGTGTATACGAAATGAACTGAATAACAGAGTTACTTTTTGCGAAAGGGTGCGAAACGGCGAAAAATGAATGCCGTTTATTTTCATTTAATAAAACGACGTCGTTTTGATGCGCGGTGCATAATTGATTATGCACCGCGGTGCATGATATAATTTGCCTTAACTTTGCTGGTCGTTGTATAACAATTGCATAATTTGTTTGGGAAATCTTAATGGACCAAATATAAAAGCCCAATTGAACGCAAGGTCCATTCATATTCAAGATTATATGCAGCAATTTGTATGCAAAATTTCTGGACAGGATCCATCATGCGATATCCATTATTCACAACATAAAATTTGCAATTTGTATTATATGGGGTGTTTGGTAAATAGCTGTTAGTTGATTGGATTAGTGAATTTGATTAGTTGATAGTAATAGCTAATTGTACAAAAGTGGTTGATAAATTAACAGTTATAATCTTATTCATCTAAAACAATAGTGAGTCACTATTATATTTTTATTCATTCATTTTTTTCCCAATAAAATGTGTATACATTGGAGGGAGATATATACTCTATGGGAGTACATCTATCATTTTTCACCAATAATAATTTAAAAAACTATTTTCTTATAATGCCGATATTCATATAAAACACTTTACTAAACTTCTTGCTTTTATACAGAACAAAATTTTTCACCATCAAGCATTCAAGCAATCGTTATGCCATGGAACCGTCCATTGTGAACACGGTCCCAATGGTAACGGTGCACCGTTATCTTTCTTGTTTTTTTTTTTTTTTTTTCTTCAATTAACCGCGCGACTTTTCTTCTTCATTTTCACATTTCGCGGTTTCACTTCCTCTTCGCGCCGTTTCTTCAACATTCAAAAATTATGAATGTGCAGGCATGAATTTATGAATGTGCAGTTATGAGATTATGAATTTTCTGTTATGAGATTATGAATTTTCTGGTATGAGATTATGAATTTACAGTAAATTCATAATCTCATAACTGAAAATTCATAATTTATTAAATGTTTTTCTTTTATGCGATTATGAATCTTCTGTTATGAGATTATGAATTTACAGTACATTCATAATCTCATAACAGAAAATTCATAATCTAAACAAACGCGCGCCGTTAACAGCACATTAACTAATTTTTTTTCTCATAAAAACGACACCGTTTGAACCCGTGTTCATCATTCATGATAAACACGTTTCTCGGGCATAATTTGCGGCATTCAAGATAGCCAATTAGTCTCAAGGCGGGCTACTAAACCTAATCAAATAGGGGAGTGGAATGGAAAATAATTTAGTTGCCGGTCAACTAGGGTCCAAATTTTTAAAGTCTTCACCAGCTTCCTTTAATTATTTCTTGTGTTTTGTCACTTTTGTGTAATGGTCTTTGGAATTTAAGGCCTGTATATATAGTAGCCTGTTGGTAGTCCATTGATATAATTGAATAATATTACACTTTTGGAACTGGGATTTTATTGGGATGGGATATTAGAAATATTATTTGTATTAGAAGTAGTGTACTATATATCAATGATTGAGTTTGATTGTATTGTATTTAACCTACATACATGTTTTGTATTCCTATTAGGGTGGGTCTATACATGCTTTCTGTATATACATACATATGAGTATAGGACATATCATTGTATAACGAATACAAAAAAAGTCTCTTTCTAGTTGGTATCAGTTTCAAAATTGAGTTCTACACCACTATGTCTCCTTGAAGTTGACATTAAAAAATTATTTATTTTAGTAAATTCGGATAGTCCCCTTATTGTGTTAGAAGAATTTGTTGTACTATGTTGATGAAAACTTGCCTCGTCATGCCCATTTTTGACAACTGCAGCATGACAATAACCCGTTTCGAATCCAACATATTTTAATTTTCTTGAATACAGTAGAATCAATCGATCCTAATTAAGCATGATTATCTCGTCTCATCGGAGGAGACTCTTTATTTTATTTGGTCATTGGCCATGATACGTTCAAAGTTAGTTTGGGATGCGTTTGAATCGCAGCCTTAGCAGGCCAGTGTTTATATAAAAGGGTAGTCGACACTTTACTAAACTTCTTGCTTTTATACATGACAGAATTGTCCAGCATCAAGATAGCCAATTTGTCTCTGATCGAATTACGTCTTTTGAAATTATCAGGGCTACTAAAAGTAATAAAAAAAAAAAAATTTAAAGAATTTTTTTTTTTAGTTCTTCCTCGGTATCACAACACTTAAAAACGTTATCAGCATTATAACAGTAAATATGCAATTTCTAATAATTTTTTGACAAACATTTCAACAGCAAAAGTAGGTCTCAAATGATTACACCATTCAAATAGAAAAAAAAATTAAAAGAAACGGAAAATAGGAGTATTGTGTAATGAGAGCAGTGTGATAAACACCATGGTTATGTTGTTATCGACCTTCAATGTCTGAAATTGTGATCATATTAGCCGAGGCTTTTGGATTGTTATCGACATCATCACATTTTAAGCCGATAACGGTAAAGAAACCAGGTTGTTTAGGGGTAAGTAAGATTGTTGATTCATTACCAAGTATAGATACCACTTCTGACATTGTTGGCCTATCTGCTGCATTATCTTGAACACATAGCAAACCTACTTGGATACATCTTGTGGCTTCATTTATTGAAACTGTTTTTTCCATTGTTGAATCTATTAAGTCTGAAATTCTTCCTTTTATCCACATATCCCAAGCCTAAAAATCATTGTATAGGTAGACATGTAGTTATCGCACCAATTTAGATAATGAGATTTGGATGAAAGAATTCTAGAAATAGACTAATGATTGTATATGATGTCTATGCATAGAGCAATACTTACATGACCGAGTAAATTTGAAACATGATTTGGATTGTAGAAGTCATTGTTTCTCTTTCCACTCACTATCTCCATTACCATGACTCCAAAGCTAAAAACATCAGATTTCTCGGAGAAACAACCATTCATTGCATATTCCGGAGACATGTAACCACTGGTTTAGGAGAAAATTATTAGACATGTTAAATAATAGCTAAATATAGATACAAATATATGTATGAACATTTTCATTGACTTACTAAGTCCCAATAATGCTTTTTGTGCTTGCTTGATCAACATTATCTTTAAATATTCTAGCCGTTCCAAAATCTGAAATCTTTGGATGCATATGAATGTCTAGTAAGATGTTACTTGTTTTAAGATCCCTATGAATAATTCTCATTCTTGAATACTTATGAAGATACAAAAGCCCTTGTGCAATCCCATCAATTATGGAGATACGCTTTCTCCAATCAAGACAATCTTTCTTCCTTTCATCTATGCAAAAACAATGATCATATGTTCAAATAAAGGATCCAAGTAAGAGAAAAATTATAGGATGGAAGAGACCGGGGAAATGAAAACACGATACTAACCAAAAAGAATTGAATCCAAACTTTTATTTGGCAAATACTCGTATATTAATACTCTTTCATCCTCATGAGTGCAACAACCTAGAAGTCTTACAAGATTCCTGTGCTGCAATTTTGAAATCAATAGAACCTCATTTTTGAATTGTTCAATTCCTTGTCCAGATATTTTTGAGAGTCGCTTTGCTGCGATTTCTTGACCATTAGGCAATATTCCCTGAAAAGTAACTACTCAGATTAATTCAAAGGGAATATGATCTAAAATTCGACATTTACCTAAAAAAATTATGCAATAAAAAGTCACACAACCAATTAATATTGTTCATCAGAGTTAATATACAGAGTTTTTGTTTCATATTAAATACTCCGTATGTTTCTGTTTGTAACATAAAGTGCCAAACAGGAACAATGTGATCATACCTTATATACAGGACCAAATCCTCCTTGACCGAGCTTATTTTCAATAGAAAAGTAATTGGTAGCCATCTCTATGGTTTTGAAATTGAAGAAAGGTAAGTTGTCATCCTCCTTACCAGCAAGTTGTTGCCTTGAATGTTCAGTTGGGGCTGTTCCAAAACATAAAGCTGTTTAGCCTATAGCCAGTGTTAAAGACACTAAAGAGTTGATATTAAGAGAATATATATATGTACCTAAGATGCAACTGCGGCAACATTTTCTTGGATTCATATACCACACAATGAAAACCATGGCAAGGATCACCAGAAATAATGGTACTGTAAGAGCAGCTATAGTTGCTGTTTTCTTGTGGTGTGACTTTGTCTTTGTGGAAGCCGGAGGGGCAGGATGGAGAGACAATTTGGTTCCATTTGCTTAATATATATATATATAGTTCAATGCAGAGCAGTTGTGTGAGAATGCTAAATATACTATTTCAAATGAAAGAGTAAACAAAATGGAGAGAGTTGGCATATATATATATATATATATATACCTGGTTTGGCATTGTGGCGAATGTAAAGAGCTTCACCGTCAGAGCCATAATGGTAGGAAGGGGAAGAAGAAAATTTACATCCTGTTCCAGCTTCTGCATTGATAGAAACATAGGCTTTGCAAGAACAATTATTTGCACACATTTCCTTGCAGTCAGTGATACCAAATGTGGAGTTAAACAAATGTTGTTCCCATCCATCAATGAAACCAGTTGTTGAATGGAACCAGTCATTGTCTCCAACACTACAATTGGATTTCTTGACTCTTACGCACCCTAAATAAGACGTTTCACTATTGTAACAGTCATTATAACTTAAGGATGAATATATATTATCTCCACGATTTTCTACAGTTACTTCCCCAGATGCATGAATAAGGATATAGGTTAAATTGAAATGAAGATCTTCATTCAAAATGAAGTAGCGTTCGTTGTCGTCAGAGAAATAGCTGAAGTTAATAAGGCCAGAGCTTGGAAGAAATGTAAAGTCTTTACCATTCCACGGCCCGCTTTGCCAATAAACAATCCCTCTTCTCATAAGAACTTGCTGTGGCTTAGTATTGTTTGGATCAACACCAAAGGTAAAAGCCCCATGAGAAGGGTCTTGCTGGCTTGTCCAAGAAGTGAGAAAACGTTGGTGAGGGCGTGGTGTTTTGAGCCCAAACCAACCCAATTTCATGCCTGGAAGCCAAGTATTTGTGGGGTAATCGAAACTTTGCCACAACGTACGCCCCTCTGGACTTTGCAAAACTAAGTTTCCATTATCAAGAAGAGTTGCCGTTGTGTTTTTAACGTAAGAAGAAGGTTGTTGATTGTTTACAATGAAATCTTTACCTGCAGCATATATTATCAATTGCCCCTCTTCTGACATTGATAAATGGGGAGAGAAATCAGTTTGGCCCTGCCAACCAACCCAAATCGTAATATCTTCCGGATTCTCTTGGGAGTGATACCTGGCCAACTGTATACACAAATACCAGCTGATGAAGGTAGAGCCCCCCGCCGGTTTCTGCATGAATTTTAACCTGTACTGTGTGTTTGATGACTCCAAGTAATTTCCGGCATAAAACAACAGATTTTCTCCAGGGGCAAGTGTATCTTTAGCATTAACATGAACATGACAGATGAAGAAGAAGAAGAAGAAGAAGAAAGCAGCAATTCCAACTACTAAACTATCATACCATAATATTATCCTTGAAACGCTGCTACTCATTTCTATCTGATCTGATCTGATCTGATCTGGGTGGTTTATGATTAAATGGCTAAGCTATCCTATGTATGTATGTGGATCTGAATAGGCATGCATTTTATTTTGCACATTAAATTATCTCCATGCAGCTTCCTTTACTTTCTTGTGTTGTCACTTTTGTTCTTCCCACGTGTTGTCACTTCCAACTTAAACCCAAACCTTTCCTTTTTTTTTTTCTTTTTGGTAGGGAAACCCAAACCTTTCCTGACACTTTATTCCACACGTTTTTTAAAAGGAAAAAAAAAACACTTTATTCCATTCACTCCACTTTTTTTTGTCTTTTATTCCCTTTTGTCTTCTTTATTTGTTTCTTTTTAGATTATCTTCACACACGCAATCTTCTCTCACTTTTAAAATGTCATATAAATAAATTTGCAATTATTTACTATTCAATCTCCATTCATACAATTTTCTCTCATATTTCAAAAGTGATCCCACCTTCACATCACTTTAATAAAAAATTTACTTTTATCAATAAAGTATTAATAATAATTAAAATAATAATTGATGTGGTAAAATACCATGCTTATTGAGAATACGTATAAAGTATAAAGACCAGACCAGGTTTTGGCCCTGAAGTGATCTGCTGGTTGATTTAAGATGTTGAGTTCGGGTTACGACGTGAGGTCGGATGCTCCCGAGCTAAGTTAGGCTCTGTAGAGATTGCCAAAAGTCCCTTTCAATGTTGCTTCGCTGGGTATTTAAAAGTGATTCAGGGAACACATGCCGAGGGACCGGCATGCGCACCACGCGTCTTCCACGCACTCGGTAATTCGGTCGGCTGAGGGGGAGCACACACGTGTAGGAGTATGTCTAGCTAGCAAGTGTATCTTTAGCATTAACATGAACATGACAGATGAAGAAGAAGAAGAAGAAGAAGAAAGCAGAAATTCCAACGACTAAACTATCATACCATAATATTATTCTTGAAACGCTGCTACTCATTTCTACTACTTATTATCTCATCTGGGTGGTTTATGATTAAATAAATGGCTAAGCTATCCTATGTATATATGCATTTACTTTCTGGATCAATGACTAGAATGTGCGGTCAACAAGCCCAAATTTTCAATATATGTGGTTTTTTTTTTTTTTTTTTTTTTGACAACAATATGTAAAACTCCTTTGGGAGTTGCGTTTTTGGTGTATATTTTTTTTTCGTGTATTTCTGTAAAACGCAAGAGGTAGTTGCGTTTACGTATTCGTATACGTAAAACGCATTACGCTCTTGTGTTTTCCAACGCATACGGTATCTCCCAAAACTCAACTTACTTTTGCGTTTTACGTATTATACGTAAAACGCAAAACTAAGTTGCGTTTTTGACTTTTTTTTTTTTTTGTACCGGCCGTCTCCGGCGAATTTGAAGGACGGCGAGAACCACAAAACGCAAGTCGCATTAATTGTGCAAGGACTTTTTTCGCAATCACCACGCTGAACCAACTGTGCAAGACCACATTCTATTAATATTTGTCTTTTTAAGTATACTTAAATAGCCGATGAGCAGTACACAAACGAACTACCAGCGCCGGAACCGCCTATAAAACGCAAGTGGTTTTAGCGTTTTAACGTTTTATTCAAATAACGCAATTCGGTCTTGTGTTTTTGTAAATTTCTCCGGCGAAATACGCCGATAAACACAACGCATTTTGGTCTTGCGTTTTACGTATTTTCAAGTATAATACGTAAAACACATCTCCCAATTGCGTTTTAACGTATTCAATACGTAAGATGAAAACGCATCTGGGAGATGCGTTTTCCGTATACAATACGAAAAACGCAACTACCAGTTGCGTTTTAAGTATTTAACGAAAAAAAAAAATTACGAATTAAATACCTTCAAAAACGCAACTGGTAATAGAATTTTGCATATTTTTGTCAAAAAAAAAAAGTTAGTATACATTTTGGCAATTTCTCACCCCATTCTACACATTCTAGTCATTGATCGTTACTTTCTTGTGTTGTCACTTTTGTTCTTCCCACGTGTTGTCACTTCCAACTTAAACCCAAACCTTTCTTTTTTTTCTTTTTGGTAGGGAAACCCAAACCTTTCTTGACACTTTATTCCACACGTTTTTTAAAAGGAAAAAAAAAACACTTTATTCCATTCACTCCACTTTTTTGTCTTTTATTCCCTTTTGTCTTCTTTATTTGTTTCTTTTTAGATTATCTTCACACACGCAATCTTCTCTCACTTTTAAAATGTCATATAAATAAATTTACAATTATTTACTATTCAATCTCCATTCATACAATTTTCTCTCATCTTTCAAAAGTGATCCCACCTTCACATCACTTTAATAAAAAATTATACTTTTATCAATAAAGTATTAATAATAATTAAAATAATAATTGATGTGGTAAAATACCATGCTTATTGAGAATACGTATAAAGTATAGGACCAGACCAGGTTTCGGCCCTGAAGTGATTTGCTGGTTGATTTAAGATGTTGAGTTCGGGTTACGACGTGTGGTCGGATGCTCCCGACCTAAGTAAGGCTGTGTAGAGATTGCCAAAAGTCCCTTTCAATGTTGCTTAGCTGGGTATTTAAAAGTGATTCAGGGAACACATGCCGAGGGACCGGCATGCGCGCCACGCGTCTTCCACGCACTCGGTAATTTGGTCGACTAAGGGGGAGCACACACGTGTAGGAGTATGTCTAGCTAGCTATTCACTTACTGTAATCAGTTCAGGTGTTAAGTAATCATGCTCGGGGTCTCGGTCGAGCAGGTAGGTCGGGACCGGTCTCCGAAATTTGTGGAAAGCGGCCTATTAAGCCATAGAATTGATGATCCTTCAGGTCGGGTCCGTCAAGTGCTACTCTCCGATCAGTCCAGGTCAATAAATGATTTTGGTCTCGAGGTGATCTGAACCCGACTATAACTTGTTTGCATATCCAACAAGATGCATATTTGTGCTTTAACTAGGTCTCTTGCTGTCTTTAAAGGACTAGCAGGTCCGTATTCAGTCTATATGAAAGTTGAACTATCTCACGAATCACTATTGTAATAGCTCACAATATGCCAATGATATTATAAAGATTTATTTAGAATTTGTACTTTGTTTGGCTTTCGGGGCAAAATTATATATGAAAATTCGCCTATAACTCACTTTAAAACATAGAATGTTAGATTAATTTCAACATTTAAAGTACATATCAAATAATTATTGTTATCACAAAAGTTAGCTAAGGTTTAACAATGACAGGTACACCTTAACAAAATCATGCCACTGTTTTGTAGCACTTATAACTAGGGATGTCAATTTAGCCCTGAACCAATGGGCTAGCCCATTAAGCCCTAAAAATTGCAGGGCTAAAATCCAGAAAGATCAACCCAATAAGAAAGTAAGCTCATTGGGTTGGCCCTATTGGGTTATTGGATTGAGTTGGGCCAACTCATGGATTGTTGAGCTGGCCCGTGTAATATTCAATAATTATTGGATGGACCATAGTCTATACAACTTGTGTGTACCATGAATATAAGGTACATTTTTAATATATTAATTGTACATTATTTGTATATTGAAGGTACATTATTTGATAGTATATATATGAAATAATGTACTTTTATACACTACACACATTATATGTACACTACACACAAACTGTACACACACACACACTATATATATATATATACACACTGTACACACAATATATATACCACACACACACTATATATACACACACACACTGTACACACAATATATATACTACACACACTATATATATATATATATACACACTGTACACACACACACACACACACTATATATATATATATATATATATATATATATATATATATATACACACACACACACACTATATATATATATATATATATATATATATATATATATATATATATATATATATATATATATATATATATATATATATATATATATATACACACACACACACTACACACGCACTATATATATATACACACACACTGTACACACTCTATATATATACACACACACACTACACACGCACTATATATATATACACACACACTGTACACACACACACACACTCTATATATATATATATATATATATATATATACTACGCACACAGTACACACACACTGCGTGTGTAGTATATATAAACACACTATATATATATATATAAACACACACTGTGTGTAGTGTGTATATATATATATATATATATATATATATATATATATATATATATATATATATATATATATTGTGTGTGTGTAGTGTGTGTATATATATATATATATATAGTGCGTGTAGTGTATATATATATATATATATATATATATATATATATAGTTATGAACCTACTCTATTTGTAATAAAAAATTTGTTTAGTGATTTAGCCCGTTGGATTAACCAACAACCCGTTGTTTAGGGTTAGGGCCAACCCAACTCAAAAAGAAAAAATAAAAAACCATTTTAGCCCAAGCCAACAAGTCCACCAACCCTGTAGGGCTAGTCCAAAACCCAACGGGTTGGCCCATTTGACATCCCTACTTATAACCTATAGCAAAGCAGTGCAATTTCCCTTTTATGGTAATTATCTCTCTTCAATAATAGTCATAATCAAAACTAAAGTAACAAATATTCATAAGCTCATCTTGAGGCTATACTTTAACAACCGACCAACCGTAACCTTCCTCCTGAACTCCTGGCAAAGATCTTCTGATCCACGTCATTTGTTTATTCAATAATCATAGTTCAGAAATAGCATACATAAGAGGTTGCTCCAATCAAGCAATACACTATCACCATAGGAAAAATGTCATCATACCTTATATACAGAACTATATCCTCCTAGACCGTACTTATTTTCATCAGAAATGCAATTGGTAGCCATCTCTATGCTTTTAAAATTGAAGAAAGTAAGTCTTCATCGTCCTTACCAACGAGTTGTTGCCTTGAATGTTCAGTTGGAACTGTGGCGAAACTTAAAGATTTATAGCAAATGTCAAAATGAAAGTCGTAAAATTTGATCAAAATGACTCATTCCGATCAATATCAATATCTGAATTAGAGTTCCAATCAAACAAGATACCTTTTAATTATCACAATAATAATTCAAGAAACTATTTTCTTATTACAAGGCCAGTGTTCATATAAAAGGGTAGCCGACACTTTGGAAACTTCTTGCTTTTATACATGACAGAATTTTCCAGCATCAAGATAGCCAATTAGTCTCCGAATTAGATCTTTTGAAATTATTTGGACTACGTACTAAACGTAATAAAAAAATATTCTTCCTCTTCATCACACAACAAAAAACGTTGTCACCATTATCTACGCTACTAAACGTAATAAAAAATAACAAAAGAAATTTCTTTGAAAATTTTTTAGTTCTTCCTCCGTATCACAACACTTAGAAACGTTGTCAGCATTATAACACTAATTAAATATGCAATTTCAAATAAATTTTTAACAAACATTTCATCAGCAAAAGTAGGTCTCAAATGATTACACCATTCAAAGTGGAAAAAAAAAAAAAGAAACTGAAAATAAGGAGTGCTTGTGTAATAAGAGCAGTGTGAGACAAGATCAGATCATGGTTGTTATCCACCTTCAATGTCTGAAATTGTGATCATATTAGCAGAGATTTTTGGATTGTTACCGACATCATCACATTTTAAGCCGATAACAGTAGAGAAACCAGGTTGTTTAGGAGTAAGTAAGACTGTTGATTCATTACCGAGCATAGATACCACTTCTGACATGATTGGCCTATCTGCTGCATTGTCTTGAACACATAACAAACCTACTTGGATACATCTTGTTGCTTCATTTATTGAAACTGATTTTTCTATTGTTGGATCTATTAAATCTGAAATTCTTCCTTCTATCCACATATCCCAAACCTATTAATCATTTGCAAGTAAAGTTATGTATAGGTAGACATGTAGTTATCACTCCAATTTAGAGAGATAATGATATTTGGATGAAAGAATTCTAGAAATAGACTAATGATTGTTTATGCTGATAGAGCAATACTTACATAACCAAGTAAATTTGAAACATGATTTGGATTGTAGAAGTCATTGTTTCTCTTTCCACTCACTATCTCCATTACCATGACTCCAAAGCTAAAAATATCTGACTTCTCAGAGAAACAACCATTCATTGCATATTCCGGAGACATGTAACCACTGAGTTATGAGAAAATTATTAGACATGTAAAATAATAGCTAAATATAGATATGAATAGATATAAAAGTTGTCATCGACTTACTAAGTCCCAATAATGCTTTTTGTGTTTGCTTGATAAACGTTATCTTTAAATATTCTAACTGTCCCAAAATATGAAATCTTTGGATGCATGTGAATGTCTAATAAGATGTTACTTGTTTTGAGATCCCTATGAATAATTCTCATTCTTAATACTTATGAAGGTACAAAAGCCCTTGAGCAATTCCATCAATTATAGAGACACGCTTTTTCCAATCAAGACAAACTTTCTTTCTTTCATCTGTGCAAAAACAATGATTATATATTCAATTAAAGGATCCCAGTAAGGGAAAAAAAATATAGGATGGAAGATGGAAATGAATACACCATACTAGCCAAAAAGAATTGAATCCAAACTTTTATTTGGCAAATACTGATATATTAATATTCTTTCATCCCCATGAGTGCAACAACCCAGAAGTCTTACAAGATTCCTGTGTTGCAATTTTGAAATCAATAGAACCTCATTTTTGAATTTTCCTTGTCCAGATATTTTTGAGAGTCAGCTTCAGCATTGATAGAAGCATAGGCGTTGCAAGAACAATTTTTTGCACACATTTCCTTGCAGTCAGTGATACTAAACGTGAAGTTATACAAATATTGTTCCCATTCTTCAAAGAAACCAGTTGTTGAATTGAACCAGTCATCGTCTCCAACACTACAATTGGATTTCTTGACTCTTACGCACCCCACCGCATTGGAATCAGCCCTTTCATTGTTGTAACAGTCAATAGGTATGAACATGGATTCAAGATCTCCATCCTTTTCCGCACTTACTTCCCCAGATGCATGAATAAGGATATAGGTTATATTGAAACCAAGTACTTCATTCAAAATAAAGTAGGATTCGTTGTGGTCAGAGATATATAGCTGAAGTTAATAGGCATGCATGTGCATTTTATTTTGCCCATTATCATCAAATAGGGGACTACGTGGACTGGAAAATAATTTACGTACTTGAGTCCAAATGTAAAGTCTTCTCCATGCAGCTTCCTTTACTTTCTTGTGTTGTCACTTTTGTGTAATGGTCTTTAATTAGGATTTATTGCCGTAGCCCGTAGGTAGGCTATTCATATATATAATTGAGTATTCTTTCCTAAAGGTTGAATCCACACCTAGGCCCTACAAAATATATTTGTGAGGATATAAATCATAGTAACTCGGTTAAAGTACCTATAAAGTCCCTGTACTATAGTGTTTTGTTCAATTTAGTCCTTGTACCTTTATTCTGTTCAATTTAGTCCCTCTACTTTAAAAAGTGATAAAACTAAGGACAATTGTCCAAATCTCATTACGAACATAATCGCAATTATTTATTTTGGACATACTAATTTAATATATTGGTGGTAAAAATAATAAATTTTAAATATTTATAAAGTAATATATGAGTAGGAATATAAATATCTTCAGCGCCACGTAACCTAAGTTAACGATAATATTAACATCGTTAACTATTGTCCTTAATTGCACCACTTTTGAAAGTACAGGGACTAAATTGAACAAAATAAAAGTATGAGGACTAAATTGAACAAAACACTATAGTACAGGGACCTCATAGGTACTTTAACCTAGTAACTCAGTTGAACCATACTGTGCACAAGGAACCCTCTTAAGAGGTTGCTCCGATCCTACACTATAGCGGGTGAGACTCAATCACTAATAATCATTCTTCTCAAAATTCACCCCTATGACTAATTGAGCTGCACATATGGATTATAATTGAATATTCTACTATAGGAACTATGGTTTATTGGGATCGGGTATTAGAACTACTAGTATGTTACCTATACGCTGCATAATATGAATACAATCAATTACAATATGCTATACTCACCATTATACACCTAATCACCGTATATAGTCCTAATATATAATATTTATATACGTATTATACTTTAAAATTCAAATATTTTTTCCATCTTAAACCCAAACCTTTCCTCTATGACACTTTATTCCACACGTTTTCCAAAAAAAAAAAAAAAAAACAAAAAACACTTAGCTTTATTCCATTCACTCCACTTTATTTATTTTTTATTTTTTTTAAGAAGAAGAAACACCACTTTATTTTATCTTATTCCCTTTTGTCTTCTTTATTTGTTTCTTTTTAGATTATCTTCACTAATATAATGTTCTTTCACTTTCAAAATGTCTTATCACTAAATTTATAATTATTCACTATTCACTCTTCTTTCATACAGTTTTCTCTCCTCTTTCAAAAGTGATCCCACATTCACATCACTTTAATAAAAAAAAAATTATTTTTATCAATAAAGTATTAATAATAATTTTTTTTTTTAAAAATTGTCCTTGAATGGTGTTGCAAGTCTAACACCAAAATTACAATATTTGCAATTATGACAATGTCAAACTTGCAACACGTAAGGAAAAAAAAATGCCAACAAGACTTTGCATTATATATTATACTTTTTATTATTTTTTTCATTGTATCGTCTCATATCTTTAATTTTTCGATTATGAGCCAAGCTGGCAGAAAATAAAAATACACTTGTAAGCATAACATTTATGAACTATAGATAATCGTCCCAAATTGAGCTATGCATCAGCATCAGCATCACAGTAGCAGCCATGATTAGTAGTTGTCTCTTCCTTCGAGCCTCTCTATTAGTGCTGAAGAAAATGGATTGTAAAATTTTGAGACGGTTCTCATAAAATTTTCTTTAGAGCTGGAAAAATGTAACTCTCCATATTTAAATGGTTTTTGGCACACTACTGGAAATTCTGAAATTTCCGACCACCTGAAAATGATTTTAAATTAAGTTGATACCAAAAAATCAAAAAAGTGGTCAGAAATAGCAACAAAGGTTTTTCCGGATACCAAAAGTAGTCGGAACAAGACTTTCAACTTGATTTATGATCACTTTCAGGTGGTCGGAAATTTCAGAATTTCCAGTAGTGGCAACTGTCAAATTGAAGGTCGTAAAATTTGATTAGAATAACTCATTTTGATTAATATCAAATTATCAATACCTGAATAAGAGTTCTAATAAAACCCTTTATAGCGACATCTTTTTATTATAATAATAATTCAAGAAACTATTTTCTTACAAAGTCAATGTTCATAAAAATAAAAATAAAATAAAATAAAATAAAAAGTAGCCAACACTTTGCTAAACTTCATGCTATTATACAGGCGGAGTTTTCTAGCATCAAGTTAGCCAATTAGTCTCTGAATTAGATCTTTTGAAATTATCTACACTACCAAACGTAATAAAAGAAGAAAAAAAAATCTTCCTCTACATTATCACACCACTAAAAAACATTGTTGTCACCGTTACAACACTAATAAATGTTTTCCAAACATTTCATCAGCATAAGTAGGAAACCTCCTTCAAAGTCCCTTAGGAAATCTCCTTCTAAATTCCTTAGGAAATCTCCTCACAAATTCCTTTAGGAAATCTCCTCCCAGGCAAAACTTCTGCCCCATTCCACATTTTGACTTTAATATTTACATATCTGCCATTCTGCTGCATTGTCTTGAACACATAGCAAACCAACTTGAATACTACATCTTGTTGCTTCATTTGTTGAAATTGTTTGGATCTATTAAGCTTGAAATTCTTCCTTCTATCCATACATTCCAAGCCTAACAATCATTTGCATGTAAAGTTATGTATATGTAGACATGTAGTTATTGTTCCAATTTAGATAAAGATGTTTCAATAAACGAATTCTAAAAATAGACTGACGAAAGTTATGGGTCTATACATAGAACAATACTTACATAACCATGTAAATTTGAAACATGATTAGAATTGTAGAAGTCCTTGTTTCTCATCCCACTCACAATCTCCATTATCATGACTCTAAAGTTGAAAACATCAGACTTCTCAGAGAAACAACCATTCATTGCATATAACGAAGACATGTAACTGCTGATTTAGGAAACAATTATTAGACATGCCAAATAATAGCTAAATATAGATATGAATAGATATAAACGTCAACTTAATGTACTATTACATTTTTTAAAATATTATAAGAAGGATTTCTTATGATAAAAATTAAATTGAACATATATTTTTTTTTAATACGGTGTGCCAGCCCCATCCTCATACGCGTTAATTGAGCATTAACATCAGTACATCACAAACTTTCCCCATGGTTATATGTTATACAATACGAACGTATATTTCCATTCATTGTAATTTGTAAATAAACAAAGTTATCACGTTCAAGAAAAGCAAAACTTCACGACTATTAGACGCACAAAGACCACATGCAATTAGTTAATTAATTAATGCGCGGATCACAATTAGTGCGCTTAATTTACCTTCTGGATAAATCTATATTCAAAATTAGGCACTATTATTTTGTTTAAATACTCCGATTTGAGATCTTCAATAATCAAGACTCATGCATAAACTTGAATTTTGACAAATAATAATTGACTTTTGAATCAGTATCAAAAGTCAATTTATATTGGAGTCATATAATTTGTCTTACTAGTGTTGTCATCCTATAATTAGTGCTATGAATTTGTATTATGGACAAAGCTATGCTTAGAATTTAGGCTATAACTTGTTTGCATATCCAACAAGATGCATATTTGTGCTTTAGCTAGGTCTCTTGTTGTCTTTAAAGGACTAACCGGTCCGTATTAGGTCTATATGAAAGTTGAACTATCTCACAAATTATTGTTGTAATAGTTCACAATATACCAATGATATTATAAAGATTTATTTAGAATTTGTACTTTATTTGGCCTTGGGCAAAATTATATATATATAATTCAGTCTATAACTCAATTTAGAACGAACATAGAATGTGAGATTAATCTCAACATTTAAAGTACATATCAAATAATTGTTATCACAAAAGTTTAACAATGGCATGGTATGTTTTAGTAGATATACACCCTATCACATACACAGATGGATATGTATGAAAATGAATCAAATAAAGCAAGTGCATTGTATAGTAATATGTTCAACAAGAACTTGCACCCCCTAAAATGATAATGATTCCTATGTTCTCAATTTTTCATGCCAAATTTTATCAAATCAAATACCCAAATTATACTTCTAAATTCATGCAAAAATCTAAGCACACAGGAGTTACAAATTTGACTAGGTAGCAACTAACATACGATAGTAATAAGCGAGAATTCATAAAAAATAAATACCGTTTACTGATGATAAAGAGCAACATTCTGGACTGACCACGATGAAGACTAGCAGCCAAATGTTCAATTGATGACTTAAAACAATTTCTACTT